AAATATAGTAACACCTCACTCCTGACATCTTCTTGCAGTGATGTCATGGTGCGGTAAGCCTAGCACCATTCTCCCCCGCTTTACAAGCAAAATCAGTGGGAGCTACTAGACACATCTGCGATTAACAACAATTATTTAAGATTTTGAGAGAAGTTAACCATTGAAACTCAGAGAGCTATGGTTAAAGTGACAATACCCAGGTGCATGGCAGTTAGATGTTGTAATACATCGGGTAAAGTAAAGAATTGTTATTTCATTTTTCCGATTCCTGATCCTCCAAGGACGGGTTCATCGTTGGATTGCCAACTTGAAGAGGGAGGATTTGCCATCAAACTTCTGGCCAGAGAAAAAACACATAATATGTAGCCAACAGTTGGAAGAATGTTTTCAAGATGACTTGGATAATAGTGTGTTGTGACAAACACCAGATAGAGCCTTGGGACTGGGCTCAACAGCTGGTACCGCACCGTGACGTCACAAACCGGTGGGTGGCAGTAGTGTCTCCAGTAAAGCACATTCAAATAAAATTACTCTTAATTAAAAACACATCATTTATTGAACAGTATGTAATAATTTCATATTTAAAGTAGTAGTAGTAAACCTTTCCTTATTAAAAAAAACTTTAGGGCATTTTTCATTTGAAAGAAGAGCATTAAAGGGATCCTTGATTACTATTACTGTTGCTATAGACTGTATTTAGGACATATTTATTTCCTATCTAAATTACAATGCAGTAAAAATACTATTAGTTGTTTAGTTTCATTAAACTGAAAAAAAAATGTCACTCGAATGTTGTTTACTCTGCAATGCATTCTGGGCAAACAATGTATGCTAGGTCTTGTGTTACTAGCTCTGTCCATCCAAAGCAACAGTTTGAACGAGAGCGTGTTTAATTGATGAGGATGTAGAAACCTATGGTGACCAGACGTCCTCTTTTTTCCGCACATGTCCTACTTTTCATGCCTAAAAAAAATCCGGGGGGAATTTCAAAATAGTTCGGGATTTTGGTCGACTACAGTGCATAGCGGAGTGTTTTTTTTTTCCTCTCTCGCGCTGCTCCCATGTCCCTCATCTCGGTGTAACATCATCAGATCTGTCGCTTTGAGATATCTGATTTGCGGTCGCATTTCACTGCTTTGAGAATAGCTACATGGTTGGAGGAGAGACTCACAGCAGCACTCAGTGAATATTAACCAGCAGATACTTTGATGTAAAAGTAGAAGTTAGGAGACCGTAGCCTGACGTAGTCCGACTGAATTCTAGTCAGAATATGAGTCTGATACTGCTCCATAGAGCTGTGATTATGCGGCATGTTTCGAACGAACCAGGAAAAAAAAATGCCCCTGCACTCAATTGGATAGACCTATAACCAATAAGAGCAACGGAGTGCGTGACGTATGTTAAGCGAGGCATAGTTGTTGTCCACAAAAATCAAAGCGTGCAGTTGCACGCCTATAATAAGAAGATGAGACTTAATCGCGTTTCTCTGTTCCTCTTTTAAAATTAATTTGCTGTCGATATCTTCTAGAACAGACCTAATAGCAGAATCTACTCACCTAAACTCTCCAGCGGCAGCCATTATTGTTGTCACCCAAGCGCGCATTGGTCACGTGGTTGATTACGTTACTGTTGGTCATCTGTCCATCATCGTATAAAGCCCGCCCTGACAATTTGATTGGATCGCCTGACAGTGGGCGATAATACTCGCGCTACTATGGAGCAGAGCCAGACCGAACTTCCCGACCTCAAACTTTGTGGGCGGGACTAAGTTCGGAATGGCACCCAGGCTAAGGAGACCGGTTGGTTAAAATAATTAGAAATCACGCCGCCGAAAAATCTGTTTGTTAGACATACAGAGCTTTTTCAGCTAAAAATTGGCAACAGATTGTAAGTTTAAACAAGTTGTTAATATAACGTAAGAAGCTTGGGAAGACATAGTTTGTTCTTCTTTACTAGCTAAAAAATCTTGGCTTCCCAGAGGACCATGACTCCCAGTTACAGGTTAAAATGAACATGTTTTTTATTGTATAGACAGAATGTTGGGTTAATTAATTGTACATAAGTTATTCTACTTTAATCATATTACTTTAATCATATTATACTTACACATTTTGTTATCTCTATCTTACTCATATTACAAAGAGTGTTAAAACATTTAGTTTTGTTTGCTGTGTCATTAATGTTTTTTAAGTCTGTGCAGGAGGGATGCTGACTGCGACTGCTGTTAACAGATGTCGTTAAGGGTGTGGAAGAGAATGGAGAACTGTGCAACTAGATAAGGAGAGGGGTTCTCCTTATCCTATGATGTTGTATGATGTTGTATGATGTACGAAAATTCTGGTTTCAACTGGGTTCTGTTCCCTCCCCCTTTAGCGGTTGAAACCACATTGTAATCAGGGCGTTTCTTCAATAAAGGGCTTGGAGAGCAGATACTGCTTCAGAGTGGGTTTGAAGTTGTAACTGAATGCAGTTTCTGATCCCCTCTCCTTGCAAGTAAAATATACTAAATTCTCTGTGTCATTCTTTGTGCAGGTTGCTGAATAAGGTGTTTGGTGTTCAAACCTAACACAGAATCAGACTGCAGAGCTTCTACATATCTTGAAATTTTGTTTCTGGCATCATTATATTAGTAAAGACATTTATAAATATTTTTAAACAGAGCACCGAGAGAAGTAGACAGAGCTTCAGATTTAAAGGTGAAAGAGATTTACCGGGATATGCAACACGCAATAAAATATATCTCCAAGTTTACCAAAAAGTTTACCAGAAAAAAAATATGCTATGCTATAGCTATTTAAAATGAAGCATATCCAATATTTTTCTGGATGGAATTAAAATTGTACTTATAGGGATGCATGATATATCAATTTTGGCATTGGAATCGGCTGTTATTAATTATTTTTTTCATCCATTTATGTTTTTGGGCCCTATAGTTGTAATGCACTAAAAGGCATCTCTGTAATATCTATAAATATCAGTGTGTTGTGATCTTGTGTTCTTAAAAATAGGAAAGCATTCAATAAATATACATTTGAGACAGTCAGTCAGACAGTTATCAAAGACTTTGCCTATTCAGCCAGCCCAACAATTCTCTTTAACAACCCCCATTTCAGAGACATAGAAAGGTATGGGATATTGCAGGCTAACAAAGAACCCAAATGACCCCCATTCCAAAGGGGTGGACCCATTCTGTCACGATTTGGTGTTGGACTGAGGACCCAAATGCAGAGGCACGTTGGCAGAGGTGAATTTAGGTGGGTTTAATGAGGTCCACAGGTACAGAGGCAGGAATCAAAAAAATCCAACAAAAATAACAAACAAACCAGAACCAAGGAGACATCTGGGGAAACCAAACTCTAGGAGCCAGGGAGAGACGAGGTAAGCAGACAGACGTTAGACGAGGATCCAGCAAACAGGAACTGAAGAGGGAGGGTTTTAAAGGGACCAGAGACAAAGAGAGGGCTAACGAGGGGATTGAAAACAGGTGAGGACAGAGCAGAAAACAGAGCTAGTGATAGAGGACACAAGGACAGCAGAGGACAACAAATGGAAAACCTGGAAGACAGGAACTAACAAGAAAACAACAAAATAATAATTAAACACTAAAACAAGGAGCAAAGTAAAGCTGAATAGTCTAAATAAACATAAAACCAAGACTGTGACATATTCGTCCGTTTCAATTTGCATTTTTCTAGCTAAAACAAGGGTTTGTTTGGCTACTGTATAAAGCCTCAAGCTCAACGCTATTTCTGATATTTTGAATGAAAAAATTCCCGTATGGGAAGCGAAATGTCTTCAAACTTGGAAACAGAGTCCAGTGGATTGTTGTTGTTTTTTTAAACCTTTTTTGGTTAGCCTTCCCATGTTTACTCTATAGGCTGCAGTCCAGTTGAACCTAACTGTGTCATCAACCCAGCATGCATTGCACAGGTGAAAAACAATGGTGACCTCCTTGGGGAAAAAAATGTAAGACATATGTAATTTTTGAATTAATTATGAGTCACGCAGATTCCTTTTTTTAAGGTGAGAGCAAATTGAAAACATATTTCAGCCATCATGTTCAACAAGTCTTGGATTCCTCTAAGGTGGGAAAGAATGTGTGACAAGTACCATAAATGTTTCCAAAAATGGATCTGAATAGGATGTTGATGCCAATAGTACATAACATAGAGGTGTCACTCATTACCATCAGCTTTGAGAGGACTGGAGTAATGACAGTTTCTCCAATGAAAGCTAAATCTCAGGGAAGGAAAGATGAATTATCCTGTGGGTGTGATGTCATCCTGCCAGTGCGACATCCTGGATCCTATTCTAGAAGAACTTCCCCCAGGAACAAAGAAGATATGTCATGATGAAGCTACCTCTTCCCAGTATGAGAGAGTGTTGCTTTTAATGGCAACAGGGATAAAGGACCAGATCAGCCATCAAAACACTGACATATCCACCTCCATAGAGGCGAGTCAACTCTATTCCTCCGAGGTAGAGATGGAAACAGAAAACAGTGTGGCTGCCCTACAGGCCTGCAGAAAAGAACTGTCTTTGGCAGATATAGCTGCAGGATCTGACTGCGACTAGCGTATGGCTTTGGTGGAATTTGTAAGCTTGTAGGTGCAGCTGCAGTGACAGGGGGGTGAGGAGCAGGACTTGGCTCCAGGCTCTGCTGGGCCGACTACATACGGATTGCATTCCTTATAAGGTCTGCCACACTTCTGTGTGTCCTGTGGAGAGCTGGTCTTCTCTACCCCTGATGTGCTGGAGGGCTGAAAATAGTGGAGAAATCCCAAATTGATTCCACTTTAGTTTTAGATAGAGCCTGAGCAAAATGCAGAATGAATCACAAGGCAGGAAAGGGGAATTTGAGAGTGAGTCACAGCTCTGTTTTGCTTTCCCCTTAGTGATGCCTCCATGCAGGGTCGGAGGGCAAACAATTCAAAAACAGAGGAATTCAAATCTGTGTGCAGCAGCGAATGGAACAAAGAGCATCCTGAGCTGGATCTTACCCTGCTTTGGTACCTCATCCTGTCCTGTTACAGCTGGGTGGGGGTACAGCAGTGGTTTCCCCTCAGGCGTCTCTTCCTCAGCTGCTCCTTCTCATTCACCTTACCAACAGGCAGCACAACTTGGCCACTTTCTCCGGGTCTTCTTGGCTTCCTCCTCGTCCCACTACCTTTCCCTGGTCCGGTCCTGTGAGGATACAGAACACACTCAAGCTCCTCTTGTTTACACCTTCAATTCATTTTGTTCGCTCCTGACAGTTCAAAGCGGAGGGCCACAGCTGTATGAGTTCCCTCTCTCTGCAGACATCAGGGCAGGAACTCCACCAATACGTCACACTGAAGAAGGAAAAAAAAAAAGGCAAGGAAAAGTATGCTACTGGCTGCAAAGAAAAAAAAAAAGAACCGGACAACAGAGAGTGCCTGGAAAAAGTTACTAACATCCTCAAACTGCTAAGATGTAATCACTGTTGAGCTTTTTTTTTAAAGGTGGGGAAAAGCACAGAAATAATATGAGATCTCTTTACATTCCCTTTCTTCTGTCCTCCCCTCCCTGTTTGGTGGGATCCCTCCCTTTTTCTCCCACAAGCTGAGACAGATTCACATCCACTGTGAGTTATGGAAATGTTTTTTTTTTGTTTTTTTTTAAGTCGGCACATCTCCTTGTGACTTTTCTCCTATTGACAAAACCAGTGACGTGCGGTCAGGGGAGGCAGGTGAGGCAGTGCCTCACCAGCCATCATGGAAAGAAAGAAAATATATAATCATAAAGTAATTTAAATTGTTATATTCATCCGGTGGTTTGTACTAAAAAATATTCATTTTTCATGTAGCTTCACCAATTTCGATTTTTATTTGTTCAAAATCGCTGAATTTTCTTATTTTCCCATTCAAATGCTTGGAAGCGATGCCGGTGAGGCAGCAGCGAGCTCTGCCTCACCTTGGATTGCGCAACCCCTGGCTCTGCGCTGGCTGCAAAGCGGAGAGAGCATGTTGCTGTACGGCGTCAATAAAATGGTTTAAACAAATGTAATATGTGAACTTATTTCTAATAATTTGGCTTATGTATATAATGTACAGAGCTTTTTGTCACCAACTGTGTTTGTGTAACGTGTTTCGTGTAATGAGCGATTATAAACGGCAGAGAACAAGTTCGAGGTGAGGCAGGCAGTTCTCTTGCCTCATGGCAGGGGGTGCTCAAGAGACTGAAAACATAAGGCAGGAACAGGACGGATCAAGGAAGGCTTTCTTCCCTGGCAGTGATCTCCATTGAGACAGAGAGACTTTTAAAACTGAAGGAAGATAAGGAGGACTTCTATTCATTTATAAGTAAAGGTAAGACAGTAATAACATTTATTTTGTTTTGTTTTTTAAGGAAATGTGTGTTTTGTGAGCTACAGTTTGTATGTGTAAGGATGCAGAAGTGAAACATAACCTGTAAACTGCTGTCAATCTATGCATCTATTTGCAAATCTGATTCTGATGACGTCAGTGCCTCACCAGCTATGAACCTCACCGCACGTCACTGGACAAAACAGCTTGCATTGTTTAAAAACAGAGGTCTGCAGATACTTGTTAGTCATGGTAACAATCATAAATCTTATGCACATACAGTATTAATTTAGCTCTGTGCTGTGTGTTTGAATTATGAAATTCCTTTCTGATTATGCTTCCTTCCCACTTTGGCCCTTTTTAAGGAGCGTGCAATCAGGGCCAGATGGCCTCTGTAGAGGAACAGCACCCTCTTCTGGTGTTTCATCTTTCCTCTTCTGATCTGCTGCATTCCCGGGCCAGCACCACCAAACAACCAACCATAAAGGAATCAGACTCTTTATCCTTCAGTTCTACCACTTTTAGATGTGCTTCAAGTCTGAACAGAAAAAAATAAAATCACTTAAAAGTTGGTTGAAAACCATTTAGAACGTGTGTGTCAAATTATTTTTTTGTTTCCTGACTTGCTGTCCTTTAACTTTCTCAATAAAAGCATCCCCACAGCATGATGCTGCCACCATCATGTATTTGCTTCGGCCCATGTTTCTTTGATCTTTACTCCAGAGATTTAATTTTGGCTTCTTCCGACCTGAACGCCCTCTGTCTGGGGTTCAATTCAATTCAGTTTATTTATATAGCACCACTTCACAGTATGTGTCATCTCAAGGAACTTTACAGAGACAATTCAACCAGATCATCCAGTCAGATTGGTTCTAAGTTTTCTATCTAAGGAAAAACAACTGATTGCATCAACTCATCACTACAATAAAAGACAAGCCAAGCTCCAACAGCTATTTCGAAGGCAGCAGCACAGCTGATATTTCTCTACAGGATGGAGTCGCAGCCATACAGGAACAGACCAGATGTAGCTACTGTGATGAGAAAAAGCAGAGAGAGCATAATACTAGAGATTGAATTAACAGATACTGCAATATTGGGCGAACAGAGATAGAATAAAGCAGAATGATAAAATTGGTCCCTATGTCCTCCAGCAGTCTAAGCCTATAGCAGCATAACTATAGAGATAACTAAGGACAACCTGAGCCACTATAACTAAAAGCTTTATCAAAAAGGGGGGAGTGTTTTTTCTGTGCTCCCTGGGCACCACACAATGGCAGCCCACTGCTCCCCAAGGGGATGGGATAAATTCAGAGAGTGAATTTCCCCATTTTGGGGGAAATTATTTCTTATAGATGGGGTTTGAACTTCTTTGAACTTCCATTTCACCAACTGAACTATTGTTATGCATGTATGACAATGTAACCTCGGTTTTGCATTCTATGACCCCTTTAAAGTAAAGCAGGAAAAGATGCAAAGAACTCTGGTCACTGCATTACTCTATTAAAGGATATTTTTTCTTACAATTTTGGATGATAACTTTCTTAGACTTAATTTCGCTAGTTTTATAACTAATGATAAGAGTTTCAAATTGAACTTTGCATCATCTTGAAATAGTATTTATTTTGGTATTTGGTAAACAACAAGTTGGGGCAGCACTAAGAAATTAATTGTCTGGATGAAACTAATTATTCTGATGGTTTTTATTTGGTTAAATACCAAAAGGCCATAACAAAATTAAAAGATCCACTCTATGATTTATATATATATATATATATATATATATATATATATATATATATATATATATATATATATATATATATATATATATATATATATATATATATATATATATATATATAAGGAGTAGAAGTAAAAAGTTGTCTAAAAAAAATAATTACTTCAGTAAAGTATAGATAGTCGACATTTCTACTTAAGTAAAGTAACTAAGTATTTGGACTTTGTTACTTGGCACCTCTGATCCTGGCTTCTCTTCACAGGCTGACTGTGTGTTTTAGAGTTCATTAGAGCATCTTTTTGTTTGTCTTTTAGGTTTTAAACAGTGTTGCCCCAGAGAGCTCATCCACTGTTATGTTCCTGCTCAGCAATGCGGGTCCGCTGACCTGCTGCAGCTGGTCTAAACTGAAGCTTAGAGGGGACACGGCCTTCTCCAGTGGGGCCTCCGAGTTATGCAGCAGTGTAGACAGGCCCCTACACTGCCCATTTTTAAAACTAATCTAAAAAACAATTTTTACACTTTGGCCTTCAACCCAACTGGCCTTGTCTTATTTTATTGTCTTTATTCTACTAACATTGTCGTAAACTTAGCCTTATTACCTAATTTTAATGTTTTCCTTGTTTTGTTTATCTTCGTTGCACAGAATTTAGTTTCAGCTTTGGCTGCTTTTAATGCGCTTTATAAATATGTTTTTGGGTTTATCATGCAGAGCTTTAGCTCATCCACATGCATTCCAGCTGCAGCCAGAAGTTTCTTTTTGAAAGGTGAAGGAACAGGAGCTACAGCTTAATGAACTGGGGCCGAACCTCTACAGCAGCGCCCTCTAACACAGCACCACCTGCCTTTTGACCCCACTAATATTTAACCTAAAATAGCTGAAACATAATCCTGAAATAAAATAGTCTCTATAGAAAGTAAGTCTTCTCACCTTAGATGTGTTATTTTCCTGCCAGGTTGTTTTCAATCACTGTTCCGATCTTTGTTTAGCAGTTCCTGTAAGAAGAATTTCCTTCCTTGATGTTTCCTGGTAGTCAGGATCTTCCTTAAACAACACTTCCTCCCACATAGGCCTCTCTATGATTTTTAACATTTCAACATTTCATAAACCATCACAAAAAGGGAATTTTAAAGGCATAAAGGATCCCTAAGGACATTTTTAGACCTGATCAGTGACAGATGCACACATAATGTTGTAATGACCGTATTCATCTGATTTCAATTTGAGCTAATTTCATCATACACTTCAGAACTAACGCCAAACATCAGACTCAGGCAGAAATCCAAAGATTCAAGCAAAGATCTGAAGTCATACATGGATTTAATTTTATGGAGTAAATTTATTACAAGGAATATTTTTCATAAACCAAAAAAAAAAAAAAAAGGAAACCAGAAAAGAAACTGGAATATTTTCTTTATTACAAAAAAGTTTTAAGAGTAACTTTGCTGATTTCTCTAATTTATATAATTTTTCATTTTTATTTTTGAAAAGCAATATTTTTATAGATGATATATATATATATATATATATATATATATATATATATATATATATATATATATATATATATATATAATTTTTCATATTACATTTTTAAAAAAATGTATTCTTTCAAATCCTTCAAATTTTTTTTTTTCAATTTGAGTTTTATGAATTACATTCTTTTCAAATTTTATTTTACAGATCCCACCGTTCACCTCTGAAGGCAGGCTTTCCTGTGAGTGAGAGATGAAGATGCATTTCTATTGGTCAGCTGGACATTAGCCACATCATTTTTATTCATCAATGTGCGTCGAGAGCCAGCTCTTGTATTGGGCTTGAGGTAAACAGAAAGTGATCTGTAAAACGCATTTTAAAAATAATTAAATCCTTTCTTCTCTAACTCAAGCTAAGGAACAGAAATAAAAAAATAACTCTGAAAATAACAAATCTGGGAATATGGCAAGGTTATTCTTAAATCCTTTTTTATATATATTTTTAAGCAAATTTCAGTTTAAAAAACACATTCTTTGTTTGCAACAATATTGGATAGAAGTTCACTCCATACTTCCCCACCTATTGTCTGTGTGCAGAGCTCCCTCAGCGTCCATCTGTTGTCCCTTTCACCTCGTTCTAACCTTTACTGCCTCTCATCCCCCAGATCCCTGTTACACAGAGGCTCCTTTATGCTTCGGCTGATGTGTAAAACAAACCCTCATGGAGTCCAAAAGCTATGGAAACACAGGCTTTTTATGGGTTTTATGAACTAGGTTTGAAACAAACATAAAATATATAACCAGTGGATATGACGTGAGTCAGTTTTTCATTTATGATAAAACAATTCCACAAAGAGTAAATACTGAGCTTCTCTCATTGTATAAAACTGTTATGACTATAGTATATGGTGCATGAATTAATAAGCCTTATGGCTCTACCTAGTGG